TTTACCAATCATTTTCAAAGAAGGCTGGTTGACATTGAAACTTAGCCAGAGAGATAACTATCAATCATCATTAACTGCTGAATTCTCCATGGCAACACTTTCACCAGAGACTCCTTTTCCTCAGAGGTCAGTTAGCTGGGTTGCAATGCAGAGTGACACCGACAGCACGGGTTAAATTCTGAAGTTATCTTCAAGGCCTCTCCCCTCACCTAAGACATGGTGGCCCTCACGTTAAAGTCAGCACCAGTCATCTCTCTTCCATGAATGAGCAGGACTGTTGTCCTCCGAGATTGTGATAACTTTACTTTTACTTGTTAACCAATCAGCGTTCTGTTCTTGTACGGCTTTAAATGTTGGTTTCATCTTACATGGGTAGTGAGACAAAAAAGCTTCAACAAGATGTATCCTTTTCAGCAATATTTAAGGCACTCAAATGTACCTCTTTGTCCAAGCTTTCAGGCACCTGTCCTAACCTTCCCTTCAGTGATTTGGTGTAAAATGTTTTGTTACTATGAAGCACATTTTTTTTTAAAATGGAAAAATATTTCCAATTCGTTGATTGACAATATCGCTTCTGTAATAAGATCACCTGATCGCAGGATGAGAGATCAATCCTAGAGACTATTCGTATATTTTTTGAAATTAAGAATGAGGGACGATCTCATTGGGGCGTACAAAATTCTGACATTATGGATGAGTTAGGATGTTCAGTTAGCTAAATGGCTGGTTTGTGATGCAACGATGCCAACAGCATCAGTTCAATTCCTGCACCAGGTTACCCGGAAGGACTCTCCTTCTCAACATCTCCCCTTGCCTGAGGTGTGGTAACGCTTAGGTTCAACCACCAACAGTCGTCTGTCTGTCTCTCTCTCTTTGACAACAACTCGGTGGTCTCCTAGAACCAAGGCCAGCTGCCTCGGAACAAAGGCAGACTGTTCAAATTTCTTCAGAGGGTGATGAAACTTTGGAATTCTCTACCACAGGAGCTATGGAAGCTCAATGATCAAACTTGCTCAAGACAAATAGATTTTTGTTGACCAATAACAAAGGAAAAGTGGGGTTAGAGTGGATAATCAGGCATGATCTAACTGTGCTAGACTCAAAGGGCTGAATGGTCTATTCCTGGCCCAATGTGGATGTGCTGAATATCAGAAATAAAATGCCAGACATTCCAGAATGCCTAGAGTCAATCCTTCTGGTCAAGAAGATTCCTAGCACCACCTAGTGCCTGGCTGCTGAACAGCTTCGTGCCACCCCGGCACCACTGCATTAGATCTCTTCAAAATTAGTGCAACATATTCTCCATTGACCGCAGTGTGTACCATCTACAAGATGGTACTGCAGCAACTCACCGACATCTTTCAAAATCTAACCTCTACCACCATGAAGGCTGGTTGCTCGGAAGATCCTGATGAGACAGTCTGAGTTACTGCAGTGCATTTTATAGATTGTCCCTTGTACAAGGGACAATGTCAAACTAAAAGAATGGGTTTACAAAAAAGGATATTCTGCTGCATGGGAAAATAATAAAGACCAGTAAAGGGCCATAAAGCAGCTTATAACAGTTATTAAAACAGAAAATGTAAGGAAACTTGCCAGGGACATCAAGAGAAGATTTTATAGTTATATATAAAGGGAAAGCAGGTAGTCAGGAGCAATGTTGGCCCACTAAAGTGAGGATATTATCAATGACTATGGGGAAATGGAAGACATGTTAAATAATTACTTCTCTACTGTAAATAGCAAGGCAGTTAGCCTGCCAGAGGTCCTGAGGAAATTAATAGTGGATCAGAAAATAGGGACTGAATAAAATTGACTTAAGTAAACCATCAGTAATGAGGAAGTTAAAAGAATGAGACCTGAAGGTTTCTATCCAAGGCGGTTAAAGGAAGTAGGGGAGCACATTGTAAACACCCTAAATATAATCATTCAGTTTGCTAGATACAGGAGTCATCCTCTGTAGTGGAAAATTGCACATCACTCCACATTTTAAGAGTGAAAGAGGAAAACGAGGGAATTACAGGTCAGTTAGCCTAATATCTATGGTGGGGAAATTGTTGGAGTCTATAATCAAGGATGGTGTAACTGAACACCTTGAAATTTTCAGTTAATCAAGGAGAGACTGCATGGCCTCATGACAGGTAGGTCATGTCTGAAAAATCTCATTGAATTTTTTGAAGAGGAGACTAAGGTAGTCGATAGGGGAATGTTTATGGATGTTGTTTGTATGGGCTTCCAGAGAATGTTTGATAAAGTCCCACATAAGAGACTGTTAACTAGGTAGAAGCCCATGGAATTGAGGGCAAATTACTGACATGGCTGGGAAATTGGTTGAATAGCATGCAACAGAAAATAGGAATAAGGGTACGCACTCTAATGTTGACCAGTGGTATCTGACAAGGATCTGTGTTAGTGCCTCAATTATTCACATTATTTGTTAATGACTTGGATAACAGCATAGAAAGTCATGTATCCAAATGTGCCGATGACACAAAGTTAGGCAGCATTGTAGACAGTGTAGGTTATAGACTATCAACAACCCTTAGCAATTTTATGCTTAGAAAATAAGCAAACCTGTGGCAGACAGAGGTCAGTGTCAGCAAGTGTGAAGTTATCTATTTTGGACCAAAAAAAAAGACAGATCAGGTACTTTGCAGATGGTACGAAATTCAGTACAGAGGGTGTCCAAAGAGACTTGGGGAGTTCAGGTGCATAGATCTTTAAAACGTCGTGAACAGATGCAGAAAATAATCAAGCAAGCAACTGGAATACTGGTCTTTATATCTAGAGGACTGGAGCATAAGGATGCAGAAATTGTGCTGCAGTTATACAAAATTCTAGTTAGACCCCACTTGGAGCACTGTCAGCAGATCTGCGCACCACACCTTAGGAAGGATATATTGCCTTTGGAGGGAGTAGAACACAGGTTTATGAGAATGATAGCTGAACCTCAGGGTTTAAGTTACGAGGCTTGTTTTCTCCAAAATTTAGAAGGTTAGGGGGTAATCTGATCAAAGCTTTCAAGATATTAACAAGAAAAGACAGAAGATAAAATCTACAGGGTAGATAAACAATTTCCGCTGGTTGGGGACTCTAGAACTAAGGGGCATAGTCTGAGAATTAGGGCCAGTCTGTTCAGGAGAGGAGAGATGTTAGGAAGCACTTCTACACAGAGTGGTAGAGGTTTGGAACTGTCTTCCAAAGGCAGAGAATGATAGATCAATTGTTAATTTTAAAATCTGAAATTGATAATTTTTTTGTTGATCAAAGCTATTAAGGCAATATGAGTCAAAGGCAGGTGGAATCAGAATCCCTCGAGTGTGGAAACAGACCATTCGGCCCAACAAGTCCACATCAACACTCTGAACAGCGTCCCACCCAGATTCCACCCCCTCTGCTATCCCTGTAACCCTGTATTTCCTGTGGCTAATTCACCTAACCGGCACATCCCTGGTCACTATGGGCAATTTAGCATGGCCAATCCCTGCACATCTTTGGACTGTGGGAGGAAACCCACACAAACACAGAGAAATGTGCAAATTCCACACAGACAGTCGCTGGAGGTTGGAATTGAACCCTGGTCCCTGGCACTGTGAGGTAAGAGTGCTAACCACTGAGCCACTGTGGAGTTAGGCCACAGATCAGACACTACCTTGCTGAATGGTCTATTCTTGTACACAATGTTGCCGTAAGTGGCCAGTTCATGTACAAATCTGTAGGTGGGGTACAATGGGACCTTTTACATCCGAGATAGCAGCCAAGTAATTGGATCAAAATCTCTTCCGAAGGACAAAGCTGACAACACAGCACTTCTTCAGCACCAACACTGCCGCGATTTTGTACTAATAGCTCTCTCAACTGAGTCAAAGTAAATACAGAAAGTTAGCTGAGATAGTAGGAACTGCAGATGCTGGAGAATCTGAGACAACAAGGTGCAGAGCTGGATAAACTCAGCAGGCCAAGCAGCATCATAGGAGCAGAAAGGCTGACGTTTCGGGCCTAGACCCTTCTGATGAAGGGTCT